TTCTTATTTTCAGGGGATTATACACTAACAATGTTACACACTGGACCTTTGAATCTAAATGACTTCTTGTTACGTTTTACAAGGCTTTTTAAATCTCATCTAATGTTCAAGGTGAGATGTAGTTTAGATATTTGCTAACTAAATATGCAGTTAGATAATGTTCCTTTATGCTTGTGCTAGAGGTTTCAGAAGCGAAAGCACAGCACGTAATGTCGTTGAGCCAGCAGTAAGTCAGGGCGCCAGAGCTGTGGCCCAAGGTCATGAGAGCTGATTTCACCACTGAAGTACCTTTTCTGACTCATATTACAGTGCCACGGACGTCCTTCTGTAAATGTTTTCTCAATAATACTGTCGCAGTCACATAAATTCACCCCGCTGTTTGCTGCGGTCTCTGCTGCAGGCTCTGAAGGCCTTGTTCACCAGCCGCAGCACAGGGATTGGAAGGAAAGGCCGGTGGCTCACTGCAGAGGACTTGGAGGCCTATCTGTATGCCCTCTCACAGCCGGGAGCTCTGACTGGAGCCCTCAACTATTACAGGAATGTCTTCAGGTGGGGAATAGTTCACTCAACAAAAGATGATGATTATTATGAAGATTATGTCAAAGGTTTTTTAGACATTTTATATGGGGATTTAGAGTGGTGGAAGAAGTGTTCCAATCATTTAATTAAGTAAAAAGTACCAATGATGCAATATGAAAGTACGCATTGTGCATGTCACTTAAGTAAAAGTATGTAAGTATTATCAGCAGAATGCACTTAAAGTATCAAAAGTATTCATAATGCAACAACTGTTACTGGTAGGCTCATATACATTTTATATATTATATATATTTATATTTTTTATTATTAGATTATAATTACGGCACATTAATGTGTAGGTAGCATTTTACTGTTGCAGTTGGAGCTAATTTGACTTATTTTAAAAAGGGCAGTGTAGTTTTATCTCTAACAGTGCACCATATAAGACGAGCATTATACAGTAGCTGCTGGAGCAGGTATGCTGTTGCCATAGGAGACCACTGTTAAGACAGGACTTTTTTTTCCTTCCACGTTTATTTATTACTCTGAATATTTACAGCAACAAGATGCTTTTTACAATCAGTAGGCTGTCATGATCTAATAAGAAAGGAAAATGAATGAGCAATACTAGCAGTAAAATAATGATGATAATAATCATATGAAATATTACATCAATAAACAACAGAGGAAGCAAAAAAAATTAGGAAGTGAGGAAGAAGTAAAACTAGAATAAACAAATGATAAAGTAGGGCAAGCATCAGGGACAAGATAACATTGAATTTGTCAAAAAGGAAGCCTGTGTGTATGATTGTTTAAAAAATCATAACACAGACAGAGAATTGTATAAAAAGGTGCTAAAAATATCATCTCTGATCAATATTCACAGGAAATAATCTGTTCAGAATTCATCCAAATCTCTGGTTTACTGTCGTCATTGAGTTCACTGTTTGGGTTCATTAAAAGGTTTGCTCTCTACTGTTATGCATTGAATATAATATGAAATATTCATATATAATGTCACGTACTCAGGGATTGAAAAGGTTTACTTAGTGATAGAAAAGGGGCCCCTTAAGGAAAAAATTGGGAGCCACTAGTATAGTGTGATCACACAGTCACTTTATGTGTATATAATTTGTACTATAGAGACTCTACAAAATGTTATTTATTGCAGTAATTTAGTAGCGCCATCTACTGTCGGAGCTCTGAAGAGGCAGAACACTTCCCCCGTCCCTCTGTCAAGGCCACGGTGCATTCAAATATTTACATTTCCATATACCTTCAGTCTTGCACTGTAAGACTAGCTGGCCGAGAGTGATCGGCACAAATCAGATCAAAGAAAGTATCAGTGCGTGCTTCTCTGACATGTGAGCTGTACATGCATGGCTGAGCGCGCCATCTGCTCCCTTCTCAAGCAATGAGTTATCTCAGAATAGCTTTTATATGCTTACATAAAAGAAATATCACTGACCCATGCCCAATTACACTCTCCGCAAGCACATACTGTACCTAGGCAAGGGACGCAAATACATAAACACATAGCAACATCCATTTTATATACTGTATATCCACTCATCCTGTCCAGAGTGGTGAGGGGCTGGAGCCGGTTCCGCTCCACACATAGAGCAACATGAAATTCCTACTGCAAATACTATAAGTGGGAGTTCTGAAGACATGATAAAGCACAAATCTGAAGAAATTTTCAAAATTAGTCAAACTGTTTGGCTGCAAAGTGAGTTTTTCTCATCATACTATATTTAGTCTTTGGACACATGGGAGTGATGATAAGCAGTAAAAATCTATGAATTTTCATTATTTCCAGTACACACATGTGAGGGGCTCCTATCTGTATTTTCCAAATGAATTAAAGTTGCTATGAGAACAGTTGTTAGTCATACGTGCATCTACACTGCTAGGTGCTACTTAATGCTACACACTGGACCTTTAAATTGTTCATATGGATTCACTTTAAAATCTCTCATATAACAACATTTTGGATTCTCCCTTCTCTCATTAGCTCCCTCCCCCTGAGCCAGAATCACGTCAGGTCTCCGGTGCTGCTGCTGTGGGGTGAGCGGGACGCCTTCTTGGAGCAGGAAATGGCCGAGGCATGCCGCCTCTACATCCGGAATCATTTCCGCCTCAACATCATTTCTGGGGCCAGTCACTGGCTGCAGCAGGACCAGCCCGATATCGTGAACACCCTCATATGGACCTTCCTCAAGGAGGGAGAGGGACGCAAAAGCTACAGGAACTAAATCCACAGCGAGGCCTCCTCCAGCACTCCCCTCCCCCGCCCCTCTCACTTGCCGCACCCGGAAGCCTGGAATATGCCTGTGACACCAAGCGACATAGTGATAACGCAATCATTCTTTAAATTTTTCACATTTCAGATATTTTTTAAAGGCAGTAGAGAAAAGAATCAAAGCACACTTCACTGGAGAGGACACTGGGCAGTACGTGTGACACATATTCAAGATGTTTTTTGCACATGACATCCGCCTTAAAGTTTGTCAGTTACAGCATTACAAATGTGTGGCGAAATCTCCTTGTGACTTGTATTGTGTGGTGCCTTTTAACTTTCGAGTTGTCGCAGTGTAAAGATGTCCTGAGAGACTGGGATGTGGCGTCGTCTGCTATACTTGTGTTTCACTGGATCGCTCCGCTCTTCTTTAGGCACAGTCCTCTGGGAGCCGTAACCCTCCCATTCCCTTTATCAGGTAGTGTTGTCTAAAGGAGTATTATTTTTTGTATTTTTTCCTCAGAGATACTTGCTCAAATGTAGAGAATGTTGTTATCTTGATCTTTATGTATAGAAATGTCCGTGATTGTTGACTATTGTACTATTTTGTATCTATTCCTACACACTGCATTTTGAAATTCACTGAGCCAGGTCTACACCATTTGATTTTATAAATAAACTAAGTGTCAATCTGTTGGACTGCACTGGTCTTTAAAATTTCCGGCCTGTTTCAAGATAATAATAACAGTGGTGTGTTTGAGGCTGTGCTTCTCATGCCCCATGTGCTTAGTGCTGTCTCTGAACCGTCACTCCAGGCTTTTACACAGGAGAGATGAAATAGACCAGAAATAGAGCTAGTTAAATATAGCGCACAGCTGAGTGACACAGCATTTGACGTTGGTTATTTTGGGTCTACAAACGTTTTTAGATTATTTTAGGTTTATATTTATACCTTCCCCACATGGTTACATGCCAACAGAAATGTTGATGTGGAACTACGCTGAGGTGTGTATTCATCAGTCTTACATAAACAGCACACAGCCGCACGCACACATCAACTGCTGAGCTATTTAGACAAGACAACATTCAAACCTGCAAAAACCATTTTGTTTTTTAGTTTTAATATTTTTTATACAAGCACTTTTTAAAAAATGTTTTGACAGAAAAGGGTGGACTAATTGTGTAAATGTTGTCCTTATTAGTGGCTTATTGTTTATAATTTATAAAGAGAGGATACATTATTTATTAAACCCAAACCCCAACCCATTGGTTGCAACTTAACCCTATAAAGTATTCCTTATTAAAAGTTATACTAATATTGCATCAAATCTCTCTGCAGTAGATGTCTGTCCAACCAGACTGCTCATCTTTTGTGTTTGTGGCTCTAATGCTGATTCAAACATTTACAGTTACATGTGCACTGACATCATAGGATTAGAGTAATGATGAAGGACAGGACAATGACATCACCCACCAGTCAAGAGCAAGCTCTTTTGCTGCCTTCAGGGCCAGTCGGAAATATCTGTTTTAGCAGTTGAGGGTATATAAATGACTGGGTGAAACTGGAGAATATTTTTGATGATCAGTGATTTCCCCCTTATTGTTATTATCATAAGCTTTAGCTCTATTTTTAATAGAATGTTTTGTTTCATTCAAACAGAAATGAATGAGACCGAAATATGAGTTTGTGTAACACTGTAAGATTAGCTAACTAGTGCCTACTTTTTATGTCTATTTTCAGTGCAGATTTTATTGACATGCATTTTCTTTTTTCTAAGTGTGTTAAAGTCTTAATTGCCCTGATAAATGCCCAATCCATGCTTCACTTAGCAGATAACTATAATCACTATAATCTGGATCAAGGATATTTTATTGTCATTCACAAAAAGGTT